CGGGTAAGGAATGGTGTCCCTAGCCTGTCTGTCTGTCAGAGGGTGGAGATGGATGGCAGGAGAGAGATCACTTGATCATTGCCTGTTAGGTTCACTCCCTCTGGGGCACCTGGCATTGGCCACTGTCGGTAGACAGGATACAGGGCTAGATGGACCTTTGGTCTGACCCAGTACGGCCTTTCTTATGTTCTTATGTGCAGCCCTAGTATTGGGCAGAATGCCGCCTCCAACAATCTGCCGCCCCAAGCACCAGCTTGCTCAGCTGGTGCCTGGAAATGGGCCTGGTTAAGACAACCAGAAAAAAGAACTATTTCTACTAAATACATCAATAAATTTTCTTTGATTTCTTCAGATGTGATAGGAAACATATGAAAAAAAGGCTTTTTAAGACACTGTGCCTTCTGAGATATACCAAAATGTAGATTTCTACCTCAGGATTGTGAGAGCTTCTTTCATTCACACAGTCATCAAACACTGAATTTCTTCATAAATAAATATTGCACAGACATATTTTATAACATTTGTTTAGCTTCCTTTTTTTATATCAGCTCTCTAGTTTCGGGTTATATCAAGATTTAAAAGATGTAGTTGTTCTTCTAGTTTTAGAATACCTAAATGTCATAATTTATTGCTAATGTTATGCATGAACAAGCCAAAGGTTTTGGTATTGACAGCTAAAGCTGAAGGAATAAAATCAAGGCACACAAATAACTTTTCATAAATAATCTAGCCAAATGCTCAGTGGTATGCTATGCACTAAAACATTTTTGTTGTCTGTCATCTAAGACTCTTTATATGCACTTCAGTGTTAACATTAGGTAAAAATATAAAATAGGAAAAGAACTGACATTCCTTCATCTATTTTTACAATCCTTTGAAGTTGTTAAGTGTTCTCCACCTTTCTAAATAATTGTATTTCCAACTAATTCGTTGGTCTCTTAGTTATCACTCCGCAATAGTGTTCTGAAGAAGAGTTTGATTAATAAAGGACCTCGGAGGGAATGCTAGACACCTATCATCAGTTTTAAAATAATTTGGAAGGGATAAGTACAGTTTAAATGAATCCTGAACCATATAAAAACTTTAATGGCAGAGTGCACTAATTCACACTTTTCAGTTGAATACCATGGCAAAAATGTAACATTATTTAAACGATATAACTGGCTTCAGAACAATAGGAACCAGACTAAATCAGGCACCTACAATATGGTACTTATTAGGAAAAAGGACAATGACACTAATGGATACACATTCATCACTAGCACATGTGAAAACATCTCCAGCACAGAGGTGATAGAGTACAACAATTTGCTCTCTATTCCCATGGATTTCAATAACAGTTACACAGATTAATTAGCCATAGGCTGTTTTAGATATGCCTTCTTTGCTTCCTCTTCTAGTCTTTCAAAAAGAGATCCCGTACAGGATGTAGAACGGATTTTACTAATTACAGATAAGGTATTTCACAAATCACTGTGATTGGATCATTCCATGAACTGAAATGTCATCTTGCAACAGAAGTACAAATCAAACTAATCCATCTGTATTACACAAGCTTGGAGGACTATTATGGAGCTGGTGAGCCCCCACAGCAATTCAAGTTTCTATGAAATGTTTAGATACTATTGAATATGCATTTTCCACTACAATTTTTTTTTACACTATTTTAGCGTTAAGCATCTGGGGAGAGGGATAGCTCAGTGGTTTGAGCATTGGCCTGCTAAACCCAGGGTTGTGAGTTCAATCCTTGAGGGGACCATTTAGGGATCTGGGGCAAAAATCTGTCTGGGGATTGGACTAAATGACCTTCTGAGGTCCCTTCCAATCCTGATATTCTATGATATTTGAGGTAGGAACAGTGTTTTGCAAAGTAATTTCTTTAAACTAGTATTCATTTTTCAGTGGGACACAGTCTTGTACTGTCTCTTTCAGAAGCCTTATCTTCATCCCTGTATTAACAACAAATGTCTTGGTCTAAAAGGTTAAGACTTTCTCTAAGCTGAATACAATTTTGAACTATGTGACTCCCACAGAGTTTGGTTAAAACTATGCACAACGTTTGAAAATGTACTCCAAAAGGTGGAAATGTAGTGACATTTATTCATACAAAATATTTTCACCCTGCTAAGAGAGGTCTTGCTTAGCAGACAGAGGGCGCTCACTAGAAACAAACCAACACACTGAGAACTGCTAAAAGAGAGACAAGATTATTTGATTAATTGTAACTGATTCTCTCTAGTAACCGGGAGGTAGATTTAAACCTTCTAGACCAATAATATTTAATATTATAAAAGCTACTTTTATTATCAGTAAAACCTTCATAAAACACTACTACTATACCACCATATTCTGAATGCATATATGGTCACGAGTGCTTATGAGAGAACAGGGTCTCAGTAACAGTGTTCTCTTGAAGTAAAATTATTCTTTTTAAAACTTCTAGTATGTTTTCAGATAACCAATAAGACTTCTCCTTACAGATGTCTCTACAGCTTGTTTACTACTGGAAAATCACTTGCCTGTCGAAAAATTGCAACACTACCTTACGATTCTTGTCCCAGAAAACTCTGGTCATAGTATAGAATCTATGAAGCAGGGAGCAGCCAGCTTTACACTTGCTTACTTCATGATTACAGTTAAACTACATTATATGTAGAAGGACAGTTCATCAAAATTCATATGGCAATAGAGATGACAGTGATGAGAAGCCAAGATAGATTCATGTGTCACACACACCCCTCTTCAAATATCATTGTCAAATAAAAATCTTGCTGAGAAATGCTCTGTCACAGCAATGGTACACAAACATTTTTCTCAGACACCTAAAGGCTTCCTGCCATAATAGTTGTAGGTCAGAAATTTGCTCTGATAAATTCCATATTGAGACAAAAGTTAATTATCTAGAAAACTACCCAAGAATGCAGTTTCCCCTTTACACCACATATTAATCCACTTGGAGATGAGCAACAGCTTTGGTGGATTGCAGTTCAGAGAAAGGTTCACCTTCATCAAGTATCCACTGACAGTTTTAAAATTCAAAGTTGTTTACAAGATTTAAGGTCAGAAAAATAAAGTACATTTGAAAAGAAATAATTATTTGATTTTTTTAATCAATACCTCAAACTGCCATTGTTGGATTTTACCAAGAATAAAGGGGACTTATTGACATTGAATTCAAGAACTAATGATGGAGGATGACTAACACTTGCAGCAATTCAGAGGCTAAGGCTTCAAAACAAAAACAAAACAAAAAAGAAGATTTTTTTAGTTTTACTTTATCCAGATTTCTAGAAATTTCAATGTTCAAAACTCATGTTCTGAAGCAATGTTCCCTTTTTAGTCAAAAGGCTATAATGTGAAAAAATTATAATATTGTCATTCTTTGGTATGGCCATTTTGTACAGTTAAATGGCGCTGCCTCATGCAATAAAACACAAGTTAAGAAATCTGTCAAGTCACATCCAAAAGGTGAAAGTTAATAGGTTTTTACTGGGGAGAATAAAGCCTACAGAAAATAATATGTTTTCAACATTACTAATTTGCAGCATTTCAGAAAGATGCACCAATTCAAACATTTTATTAGTGGAAAAGCATGAGAGAGATTTTACCTTTTTCTTCTTCTTAATATAAAATATATTTCACCCTTCATCTATAGTAACACACAAGCTAACCACAAAACCTAACTAAACAAGCAGTGCTCAATGCATGAGCAAACTATAACAACTAAACTGATCTTTTTCTGGGTACAACTGGTCAAACAGGTTTTGTTTCTTTATATTTTCCTCTCGTTTAATTTCTACATAGTCACAATCTTAAACCACTGGATCTTACCTCTGTCACTGAAGTCATCCACAAGAATGATTTCAGCTATGAGGATGTCTGGAGTCCGGTTGATAATGCTGTATATGGTTCGCAAGAGTGAAGTCCATCCTTCGTTATGAAATGGGATAATTATGCTAGTATTTGGCAACTTTTCCAAGTATACCTTGTGCTTACAGCTGAGAAGGGGGGAAAAAAAGGAGGCGTATAAGAACACAGAAGAGTAGAATGGATTCAGTATATACAACTCAACTGTTTGCTCTGTTCAGCCATCACATTTTGTGGTGTGAAATGACTCAGTATATCCAAACAGTGTCTTTAACTCTATAATCAATCACATCATTAATTAAATTATGTATTTAATTAAATAGCATTAACTACCGACACAGTACCTGCCATGAAACTAATATTCAATAACTACTGGGTCCTTTTTTATTCAAGTACTCAATAGCAAGGATTTTACAAATATAACACCTTAAATTAGAAAAAATGAAGGTACAATAGTGTAATGCTGATGTAAACTCAGAAGTAGATTATGTGGCTTCAGTGGGAATTCTTCCTGAGTAACTAGTAGAGGATGTGCATTCTAAATACTATTTCTCTTTATAAGGATATATTTACTCAAAATATTTTTGAAATATCATATTAAAAGAAGAATTTGAATGATCCTTTTATTATCCAAAGCAAAGAAGAATTGTAAAATTAGTTCTTTACTCAAAAAGGCAAAACTGGTAGACAACGAAAAGTTATTTTACTAGATAGTATATATTCAAACAAAGACTTACGCAAGTACAACTCCAGCTCTACTTCTAAATATTCAATACAATGGATGCCATTAAATGAAAAGTGTTAAAAAAAACATGTCTCTGGATATCAACACTAATCTTTTGCTAACTGCAAAGGCAAAAGTATTTCAGAACTGTTAATCAACAACTGCATTTATATAATGTCATCCAGTAAAATACATACTTAAAAGCTTATCATTTTGCAACAATGTCTAAAAGCCCCTTAATTCTGAGATAAACTTTCAAACCACATAATGTCTGGAGTGGATAGTTACACTACATTTAGTGGGCTATAGAGCCTTTTATCTAGAGGTCAGTGTTTCAAATTCAGCTCCAGTCAACAGTGATGCAAAGTCATTATGATCCAATATCTTTTTAGTAATCCGTGGGAAATAGTTGGAGACCTCAGCCCAGCCCCTAACAGATGTTCAGATCATAATTGGCATGCCTTCTTATCCATTGCAGCAAAGAAGCCAAAGATTGAATAAGTATGGTGCCTGATTCATCCTCTCACACAGAACTCTTGGGTGAATACCCCCTGGTCCCGGTGAATTATTACTGTTTAATTTAATCAATTTGTTCCAAAAACATCCTCTATTGACACCTCAGTCTGGGGCAGTTCCTCAGATTTATCATGTAAAAAGAATGGCTCAGATATGAGAATCTCCCTCACATTCTTTCCCAGCGCGGCAGGGGAGGGCGGCCGGAGCCCCGGGAGGAGGGCGGCGAGCCCGCCCGGGGCTCCACTGTCCCCGGCGGCCAGAGCGCCGGGGGGGAGGGCGGCGAGCCCCGGCGATGGCCCCGCTCTCCCCGATCGCCGGAGCACCGTGCCACCCCCCTCCAGGTGCCGCCCCAAGCACAAGCTTGGTGGGCTGGTGCCTGGAGCCGGCCCTGTTCTTTGTAGTGAAGAGAGAGGCAGAGAAGCTAAATATATTCTTTGCAACAGCCTTATTTTCCTTGAGTGCTCCGTTAGCACCTCAATTGTCCAGTGGCCCCACGGATTGTTTGGCAGGCTTCCTGCTTCTGATGTAGTTCACAAAATTTTGCTGTAGGTTTTTGCCTTCTGTTTGTTGCTCTTCAAATTCTTTTTGGCCTGCCTAATTACACTTTTATACTTGACTTACCAGAGTTGATGTGCCTTTCTATTTTCCTCAGTAGGATTTGACTTCCAATTTTTGAAAGATGTCTTTTTGTCTCTAATGGCCTCTTTTACTCTGCTGTTTAGCTATGGTGGTATTGTTTTGGTACTCTTACTTTTTATTAAAAAATTGGCACACACAATTAGTTTGAGCTTCTATTATGTTATTTTTTTTAAAGTTGCCATGCAGCTTGCCAGCACGTCACTCTTGTGACTGTTCCTTCTGATTTCTGTTTAGCCTTATCCTTACATCAGTAGTAATTGCAGAAGAGAGTCTATTAGTGTTCTTTGAACAATACAATGAAACTTGGTTTGGGCCTTATATTTTCCAGAAAACATTAATTAAAAACCCCAACAGTCTTGGGAACAGATTCAAGACAACTTTCATTATCACATTCTCCTCACAAGTATCAGTGACATGGAGAAGCACTCTTAACTGTTAGTTCAGGTACAGCCAGCTCTTAATTTTTTCATTGCCATATAAACAAACAAGTACTCTTTCTTCTGCAAACCCCCCATAACTTCACTGGAGGAGAAAGAAATTGGGATGGAGTGGCAGTAGTTGCTATAGCTACAGATACTATTGTGAAGAACACAAATAATAAATACAAATATCAATGCCATTGAGAAGCTTAATCCTCAGAACAGGTGGTGTGATAAATGACGCAGGGGTAGCTCCCTTTTATGGATACCCAGCCAGCCAGTTAGCTGTAAAATCCCTCTTGGTGTCTGTTCTATGCTTGCTTTACCTACAGAGGGTTAACAAGTCCACAGGTAAAAGAAAAGGAATAGGCACCTGACCAAAAGAGCCAATGGGAAGGCTAGAACTTTTTAAAATTGGGAAAGAAGCTTTCCCTTTGTTTCTGTTGTGTCTCTCTGGAAAAGAGGGGAACAGAGGGCAGCAGGAATGCTGTGTAAAGTTTTAAGCCAGGTATGAGAAATCATCAGATCATAACTATAATTACTTATTTGAAACCCCCCCCAAATATGTAAGTAAATTAGGAATCAGAGGGGTAACCATGTTAGTCTGGATCTGTAAAAAGCGACAAAGAGTCCTGTGGCAAAGAGTCTTTTGTCGCTTTTTAAATTAGGAATGTTTAGATAGACGCGATCAGGTTTATTTCTTATTTTAGCATGTGGATCTCCTCCGTGCTAACCCCAGATGCTTTTGTTTGTTTGTAACCTTAAAGCTGAACCCCGCCAAGAAAGCTATTTTGGGTGCTTAATTTTTGGAATCACTCTTTTAAAATCTAGCAAAAGCCTAAATTCCAGATGTATTTTTTTCCTTTTTGTGTTTAATAAAATTTACCTTTTTTAAGAACAGGATTGGAGTTTTGGTGTCCTAGAGGTTTGTGCATGTTGTTTGACTAGCTGGGGACAACAGCTGATTTCCTTTGTTTTCTTTCTCAGCTCTTCCCCAGAGGGGAGTGTGTGTGAAAGGGCTTAAGGGTACCCCACAGGGAGGAATTCCCAAGTGCTCCTTCCTGGGTCCAAGGGCGGGGGGGGGGGCGCGTTGCATTTGGATGGTGGCAGCGTTTACCAAGCCAAGGTCAGAGAAAAGCTGTAACCTTGAGAGTTTAATACAAGTCTGGAGTGGCAAGTATAAATTTTTAAAATCCTTGTGGGCCCCACCTTCCATACTCCCAGTGTGGGGATTCAGCCTTGACAGGTGGCCTGTCACTGGCATTAGTTTTTGTTCATGAAAACAAGAGGTTATGGTAACTAATCATGCTATAAAGAAAATATACTTAAAGCTTTACATTCAGAGAGTTTTTAGAAAAATGTGTGTTATCTTCTAATCTGAAAGAGAAAATCTGAAGTTTCATACGTTTAGTGTCCATCATTAAAAGTTTCCGGCCCCTAATAGTTTGCTTTTCTTCATGTCTATGTAATCTAGTTATTTTTAAAAAGCTAAATTACCTGTAATTCTACTTATCTGAAGATATCAGGGCAGATCGTCAGCTGGTAAGAATTGTCATAGCTCCACGTGCTTCTGTGGACCTATGAAAATTTACATCCTGATGCAAAAGGCTTAATCCTGGGTCTCATGCCTCCAGCATAAATTATATAGGAAGCTCTCCTACCTCTTAAGATTTTTGATCTTCAGACATCTGTAGGTTGCTTCAGGGGTCTGCCCAGTTGATCACGTTTCAGCTTCAGGATGAAAGAACCTCCTAATCTTTAATTACATATAAAAATACAGGGCCAGAGTTTATTTGAAATGGATACAAGAGCATCAAATCACTCCTGAACAAGGACTAGATGCAGGACAAATGAGTGCTCCTTCAATGACTCCACTACATATCATTTCATCATTCAAGCCCCACACTCTGCAGAGAGAAGGGTGAATGAATGAGTGAGAATCCTGGAAGTTGTTGTCCAGAGGGAAGCAGAGTTACATATCTAGACCAGGCTCTTTCACTGTATGGGTCTAACCAGTATCTTGGTGGGACTTGGAACTTCCACTTAGTTATAAGTGATACTACACTTAAGGTTGCCCAATACTTCCCATTTTAAGACCTGGCTTACAACTGCTTATAATTTTGCTAATCTTTAACAGTTTGAGCTGAAAGTTTCCATGCTAGGTGTCTGCCTCCAACTGATCTTACTCCCGAGGGAATTCTGTGCCAAATAATTAAAAATTCTGCAAACAATATTTTAAAATTCTGAACATTTTATTTGTCAAAATAACACTGCATAATCATGCCAGCTTCAATTATTTTGGTAGTTTATTTCAAAACACCTGTCAGCAAGTATATCTGTAACAATACAGACACACACACAAATTCCCCCGGACTACAGCGTTAAAGAACCCAGTTCCTGTTTCTCTGCCTTCTCCCCTCCACCCCCCAAGATCCCAGCTGGGGTGGGGGCAGTTACCCACAAACCCTCCCCCCCAAAGCCACCTTCAGGAGCCCCCAGCCAATGCACCCAAACCTCCTCCTCCCCAGAGCTCAGCTGCGCCCCCCAGCCCAGATACCCGCATCCCATCTCCCCCCAATCCTAGCTGTGCCCCCCCCCTTTCCCAGACACCCGTCCTTCTCCACCCCCAGAGCCCAGGGATCCAGAGGGAGAAACTGCCTGATGCTCAGTCCCAGGCTTGCACAGAGTTCCCTGCATGCTGCCCTCTCCTTCCCTAAGGGCATGCTGGGAACTCCAGCTGCCAGGAACCATCTAGCTTCCTCTCCCTCCTTCCAGCAGTGTCTTCTATGTGCAAACTAGGCTCTGCTGGGTCCAGCAGACCCTAGTGGTGGCT